CCTATTCAAGAGGAGTAAAAGTTTCAGTTAGCCATAACAGAAGCAGAAACTATGTCATGTGAGTTTGATGATTAATCACACAAGAACAGTAGCTGGTCAAAGTGACCAATTTGGGGTAAGGGGAAAAGCCATAGGCTGAAATTTGCTCTACAGACTACCTGACAAATGCTACTAAATAATAAATACATCTGTAAAAAAACACTCCAGTTGAGCCATGAGTTATTTGCCTTGATGTAGGAATAGTAAGTTGAAACTCTCTGGCCTGTACTGTGCCAAGTATCAGACTAGATGAATGTTCCCATTCTGGCTTTCAAATCCATGACTATGTGAAGATTTGGAGTAGATTGTGGACAGTGAAAAACACTCTATTCAAAGCAGCCATTGTCACACCTGCTGCTGTATTTCATCTTTGCCCAGCACCCAGCGATAAAGGCTCAAGGGTGAAATTCCGGTGTAAGACCTGGGCCCTCCCTCAAACCTACTCTTACACATGCAGATAAGAAATGTAAAGTGATGAACAGCAAAGAACAGCTTTATCTGCCTGTGTTTATCCTCCCCTTACCTCCCTTTCTGCCTCTGCATCTTTCTTCCTGAGCAGATGATGAAGATAGCCTGTCTCTGTCAGAGCATGGAGCGAAGCACTACCTTTCCGAGAGCGCGCATACTGCCTCTTTCTGTGCCTCGGTCATTCGCTCTGCCTCCCTCATTGAGGAGAGTCGAATCCACAAGGCAGACTCTAAACTTGAACAAGATGATGATGAAGAGGAAGATTTTGAAAAAGGTAAAATGTGTTAGGCAGTTCCTCCAATCTCTTCTCAGTCCTCCCACACCTGTTCATACCAGTCCCTTTCTGAACATCACTAGGCCTTAAATCCTCCCTTTTGTTTCAAGCTTGGATATTTGGGCCAGGGAGCCCTAGATCCATTGGCCATAACACCTAGATAGCAGTGGTTTTGCTAGCTCCAACCTGGTGCTCTCCCTCCTAATCCTGCATACTCCTCTGTTCAAAAATACAGGAGCTCTTGAAATCCAGCCTTAACCCTCACACATTAAAATCATGTCTGTTCTGCTGTATCTGGGCTCACAGCTGGACAGATAGAGGTAGTTGTTCCTGAAGAATATTTCAGCTAAGTTTACTGTGCAGTTTTGCACATCTGTCTGGAAATCCTTGTGGCCTACTGTCACCCTCCTTCTCCTGGACAAGGTCCTCAGTGCCTCTGCTGGATCCTGCATGACCTTTCCATTTCCCTCCATTTAACCCCTCTTCTCTTTTAAGGGTACAGGTGCTTATTTGCTCACAAGGGCTGTATGACACTCCTCCTTAGCTCCATCATCTCAGAACTGTTCTGTTGGCCCAAAGAATCACTATTAAACAATACAAAGCACATTTTTCTTGCTCATGTATGCCTAAGCCTAGCTTTGACATCGTACCTGACCCCAGATACTGGGAGATTGACACAAAGGCCAGAAATTAAATAGAAGTCTCCTGCCTGGCATTATAGCCAGGGAGATACCTTTCACTGTCATTTATAGGGCAATAGCTTACCATGTCACATTCATTAAAGGGAGAAACAGAGGCTTTATGGTGGAATTGCTTTCCTAATAAGGGAAGGAATAGGGACATAATGAGAAAGGAAGCAGTTCTTTGCAAGTGTTCAGGTTAACTGGGAGAAGGGCCATGAAATATCTTTTACAGTCAGATCTCCTTGTGTGATATTTATGACTCAGCAAAAGAAAACAGAAGAAATAAGAAAAGACAAAGCACAGTTGGAGATGTAGCTAACAAGGGATGTGAAAGATAACAAGAAGGTTTTCTACAAGCATGTTAGCAACAAGAAGAGGATCAGGGAAAGTGTGGGTAATTTACTGAATGAGGGAGGCAACCTAGTGACAGATGATGCAAAAAAGGCTG